GAGACGAGTAGGAAGTGGCTCTGCTCCTGCAGTTCTCAATCTCAGATTCCCAGTGTTTGAGGTCACTCAGACTTCTCAGTTCTTTTTTTTCTTTTTTTTGTTCCAGACAGGGTCTCTCTGTGTAACCCTGGCTGTCCTGGTACTCACTCTGTAAGACCAAGCTGGCCTCGAACTCAGAAACCACCTGCTTCTGCCTCCCAAGTGCTGGGATTAAAGGTGTGTGCCACCACCACCTGGGTCTTTTTTTTTAAAGTTTTTTTTTTTTTTATTCTGTACCTATGATCAGTAGGCTGTAGCTGTCTTCAGACACACCAGAAGAGTGCATTGCAGATGGTTGTGAGCCACCTTGTTGTTGCTGGCTGCTGGGAATTGAACTCAGGATCTCTGGAAGAGTAGTCAGTGCTCTTAACCACTGAGCCATCTCTGCAGTCCCGCCCTACCACTTCTTATGCCTGTCTGGTAGCACGGTCCCACATTCTCTACACTCTGGTTTCATTTAAGATCAGAACAGCTTCAGTACATAAAATGAAAAATTCATATTCTGGAGACTTGAAGTATTTTGGCAAACTGCTATACATGATCAGAGACCTGAGCAGAAAATACAATCCAATGGAATTGAAATGGAAAATTTAATATATGCAGGAGCAGATGTAACAATAACTTCACCAAAATCTTGGCATCCAGATTGGCCTCTTCGGGAGGTAAATACTTAGCACTTAGGGACTGGAACTTTATTTCAGCTAAAACAAAGTGAAAAACGGGTAAGGTGTATGGGGCCTAATGGGAAATAGGTAACCTAGTGCCACGAATTTATGGGGATGTGATTTGTTGCATCTGTGGAAAACACAGATTAACATTCCTCCAATCTCAGAAAGAAACCTTTCAAGTGGAAATTTCTAGTTTATTTAAAAAGTTAGTTATGTTAAATGATATTTTTGCTGGGGGCACACAGGTCAAAGAATGTTTTCCTGAACCAGATACAGGTCAAAGGATATTTTGATACAGCAGTTACATAAAAGGACCTGTGATACTGGAGTATAAGTATGACCCCACAGACTGTGGGAGGTGAGCACTGAGCCTTTATTTGGTGTTCTAGGTACTCTTCGCTAATGACAGGCATGTGTTGGTTTGCCTTAGATAGAGTTGTTGAGTTCATCTTGTGGTACTCCAGCCGTTGAGAGTAACTGGCCCGAGATCTGCTTTTGAGGGCTGGAGAGATGGCTCAGTGGTTAAGAGTACTGACTGCTCTTTCAGAGGTCTGAGTTCAATTCCCAGGAGTCATATGTTGGCTCACAACCACCTTCTTCTTCTTCTTCTTCTTCTTCTTCTTCTTCTTCTTCTTCTTCTTCTTCTTCTTTTCGAGACAGGGTTTCTCTGTGTAGCCCTGGCTGTCCTGGAACTCACTCTGTAGACCAGGCTGGCCTCGAACTCAGAAATCCGCCTGCCTCTGCCTCCCAAGTGCTGGGATTAAAGGTGTGCTCCACCACTGCCTGGCCCGGCTCACAACCTCCTCTAACGGAGTCGGATGCCCTCTTCTAGTGTGACTGAGGACAGGAACAGTGTACTTATCTAAAACAAATCTAGGGAAAAAAAAAAGGTGCTCATGAGGTTCCTGCAGCAGCCTCCATTTAACACAGCCTCTGGCCTTGCGGTTCCTTTAGGATGAAGAAACTACACCTGCTGGTTCCTGCCTGGCGTCTGCCTGGGGAAAGTACTGGACTGTTAGTTACCAGTTCGTGTGTGGTGTTTGCCTGCCTAGAGGACTGGTCTGCAGCTGCTGAGTCGAATTTGGTGTCTTCTATGGGACTGAACTGACTTTGACCCCAATATCAAAAGAAAGTAGCAGTGATTCAATCCCAAAGACCTACAGGGTTAGAATCGACAAAGTATTTTTTGTCAGTGTATTTACTGACCTCCGAGTCCCAAACATTCACTCCTCTAGTGACCTTGGAGGGAGTTGCTTAACTTCTCTAAACATTAAAATTTTAAAAATTCTTGTACTTTATATTTTTGTGGTGGGGCTGGAGTCCAGGGTCGTGTGCATGCTAGGAAAATCACTGTAGACTGTGCCATCTCATGTTTCTTGATTTTTATTACTTTCAAAGAACAAGCCTCATTTTTAATCATTTTTTTTTTTAAAGTCCTGTATTTAGTTAGCTTTCTGATTCCCTCCTGTGCCTTCAACACTTAAAGGATATTGTTCAGCCCTAAGATAAGGAAAGCACTTGATCTGGTCAGGAGCATAGCACACACTGAACCCCCCGAGGCCCTAAGGACCTGTGTGTTTGTTTTAGACAGTCTCATGAGAACTCAAGGAACCTCTCTCGTTTTCTACCTGGATACACACCACGTGTGGATTCTGGTCCTTTCCTGACCTTTTTTTGTAGAGAGGTAAAAATCCTATTACAGGGTTTTGGGTCAGGCTGGCTGCTTACTAATTTTCCAGATTATTGGCTTGTTTTTGTTTAATTACACGAACTGATATCGTAGAAGCTATCTTGACAGTCACTTGTATATAATATATTCAGCCCTTATCAGTTCTGGGAAAGAACAGGGAGCTCGCGATGGTAGCCTGCAGACCTACTTGCGCCCCTAGGCGGCGCACGCTAGCCGCTGCCGGGGGCGGGAAGCCCCGTGGAACCTCTCGGCTTCCGTTGAGCATGAGCAAGATGGCAGCCTCCGAGACGGTTAGGCTACGGCTTCACTTTGACTACCCGCCGCCGGCCACTCCACACTGCACGGTCTTCTGGCTTCTGATTGACCTAGACAGATGCCGAGTTGTCACGGATCTCATCAGTCTCATCCGCCAGCGCTTCGGCTTCAGTTCCGGGGCGCTCCTGGGCCTCTATTTGGAAGGGGGGCTGTTGCCCCCTACCGAGAGCGCGCGCCTGGTGAGAGACAACGACTGCCTCAGGTGCGCGGGAGCGCGCGGGGCGCGGGTGGGGTGGGGGTCGGGGCGCGCGGCTCGGGGGTCGCGCTTGCTGGGCCTCACGATCAAGGACCCCGGTGGCGAGCTAGCTGCACGTGCAAGATCCTGAGTGGTCCAGCCATGGATGCAGCATCCTTCCCCGGGACGCTTCTCATTCCAGGGAGACTAGACTTGGAGCAGCTCCGGTGCTCAAGAGCAGGGCCAGTGCTCACTCAGCCAGGCTCTGTCTGCTGTGTGCATGGCGCAAATATGCCACAGACCCACCTTCTCTGGGCTGTACTTGGTGTCTGGAGTAGGAGACCAATGCAGGCAGGAAACATGTTTTCTTAGTAATGTATAGAATGTCCCAGCTTAGCTCCTTGGCAATGTCCACTTCTGGTGGATGTCATTCTGTGTTTCATTCAGGTGTCATTGGGTCCCGTCGAACTGGTATTGGAATGCATTTCAGTTATCACACAAACTGTGACATTTCAGAGTGTGTGTTTCAGTTGCTAGACTGCTTGCCTATTTCAAAGCCCTAGATTTGATTCCCAGCCGTCTCAACAGGAATCCCAGCACTGAGGAAGTGAAGACAGACAGGAGGATAAGGAGTTCAAAGTACCCTTGGCTACATAGGTCAGCTTGGCATATGCGAGACCCGTTTAAAAAGGAAAAAAAAAAGTAATAGCCAGACAGTGCATGCCTTTATTCTCAGTAGCCAGGAGGCAGAAGCAGATGGATCTCTATGAGTTCGAGGCCAGCCTGATCTGCAGAGTGAGTTCCACGACAGCCAGAGCTACACAGAGAAACCCTGCCTTGGGAAAACAAAAATAAACAAATGGGGGTGGGGGGAGAAAAATTACGCCAGACATGGTAGTGTACACCTTTAATCCTAACTCTCAGGAGGCAGAGGGCAGAGGCAGGCAGCTCTCTGAATTTGAAGCCAGCCTCATCTACAGGTAGTGAGACTGTGGCGGCTAGGTAGAGAAACCCTATCTCAAAACAACAGCAAGGAGATTTTAAAAGCTGACACTGAGGTGAGTATCTGGGAGCGACTGCAGTGTGACTAGTTGGCAGGTGGATTGGTTATCTCAGATGGCGGGATGATGCTATTGGTTACTGCAGTTGACATTCATACTTGTCCGGTTTAGTCTGTGCACCCCAGCTCAACACACACCTTTAAGCTTCAGCTGTGGAGAAGTAAATTCAGAATTATAAACCAGGCTATTTCTTGCTCGCCTTTGTTTAATATTGCTTTCTGTAGACAGTGCCACATTCGCAAGATTTCTTCAGAACATCAGGGAAATTAATTAGAAACAATGACCGTATCTTTGCATTGCTCTTAAATCAGGAATACTATGATTTATTAGTTGTTTTTCTTTAGGTGACAACTTGAAATAGTCCAAATTTCAAACCTCTCCTCCCTTCTTCTCTCCTCTCCCCCTTTCTTTTTTGAGGCAAGTTGTCTCAGTGTAGACCAGGCTGGCCTTGAGCTATAGAGGACTGCTTGCTTCTATCCCAGGTGCTGGGGCTAAAGGCAGTCAAGGCTCTTTTCCCATTTTACTGACAGAAATAAGAAGCCCATTCTCAGTGCACTTTAAAGGCTATTTAAACAAGAGAGAGGGCTGTGTCCCCACCTGTTAAGTTTACTTCCTGAATGGTTCCCGGCCTAATGACTTAATAACTTGCTGCTGGCTACAGTTAATACTTAAATTAATGCATCACCCAAGAATTACACTTTTGTACAGATGCTAATGATATAAAAACAACCGAGAGAGCTGTTACAAGCAGTAATTGCAGCAGATGACAGGGAAGTTTCTCCTAAATGCCTCACATGTACAGTTGCATCTGGAAAGAAGTTAGTTACCTCTGTGGGCCTGAGAATGTCACTCAGTAAGTGAATGAGTGCTTTCCTAGCTAGGGTGCCTGGGGCCCTGGATTTAGTCCAGGGAGAAAGTAGATTGTAGCTAGCCCTGGTGGTAAATGGTGTAGACCATAGGAAAAAAACTACATGTGAGGGATGGTGAGATGGCTCAGTGCTTAAGAACACTGACTGCTCTTTTTCAGGACCTAGGTTCAAGGTTAGGGCCCTCCTGATGATAGCTCACTATAGTCTCAGGGGATCTGATGTCCTCTTCTGGTCATCATGGGTACTGCACACAGAGTATACAGTCAAAACAGTTGTACAAAGAAAAAGAAATAAAATCTCAAAAAATATTTTAAGAAAAAAAAAAACCCAGCAACTAAGTATGAAAGTTTTTTTTATTTGTTCATTTCTTTCTCCTTATAACTGTCTTTCCCTGACAAATTCATCATACGTGTATATGGGTGTGCAGGCCTGTGTGTAAATTTATGTTGTAGAGGCTAGAGGTGGACGCCTTGTGCCTTTCTCAATCACCTTAGTTTTCTGAGACAGGGTCTTTCACTGAACCTGGAGCTAGGTTAGGCTGGCCTGGCTATTGAGCTCCAGTGGTCTGTCTATTGCTGTCTGTCTCCGCCTTCCCAGTGCTAGGATTACAGATACACATCAGCACACTAGGCCTCCAAAGCTAGGCTCTCACGCTTGCCCAGCAAGTACTCTATTGATGGAGGCACTGAGGGAAGCAATTCACTTTACTTAGTCCTGTTTATTTTTAGTAGTTCCTCGGGGAGCGGTAGGGGCTCATAGACCTTTCTCACATCCCAGTGAACTGTTGAGAGGGCCCAGTCCTGTGTAGCTCGTTTGCAGATAGCCACTCCCGTAAGTGAGTCCACGAATGCAGTGGCCGTGTCTGCTCTTGTGTTATTTCCTCCCCTCTCCTCTCTGATGTTCCCTGAGCCTTGGAGGCGATGATGGAACACGTTTGTGTGTCATCCTGGTACAGGAACCATGTGTATCATTGTAGTTTTAGTAGACCTGCCACCAGGTGAGCATGTTAGCAGTTTCCTGAGTCAGAGCTAAGCTCACCATCTCATCATTGCAAGGACCGAGGAGCAAGGGCCGTGGGCCATGGGCAGTGACATATATTGGGAAGGAGAGGGGCTGGGAAGACAGCTCAGCAGTCCAGAGCTCTGCCTTCACTGTAGGGGACTTGTTTGGTTCCCAGAATTCACACAGTGATTTACAGCCATCTCTCTCTCTGTCACACACACACACACACACACACACACACACACACACACACACCTCTCTTTAGAGCTGAGAGAGAAGTAATTAGGCAGTGGTGGTGCACACTTTAATCTCAGTACTTGGGAAGCAGAGGCAGAGGCAGGTGAGTTTCTGATCTCGAGGCCAACCTGATCTACAGAGTGAGCTCCAGGACAGCCAGGACTACACAGAAAAAAAAAACCACAAAAGCAAATAAACATAGAAAGTAGAATCACAGTTACCTGGAGAGGAGAAGATTCTCAAAATCAAGCTGTCTTTAGTCAGTCTTGAGATCTCAGTGGGAATCTCATCCGAAATATTTTAGACAAGCAATAGACACAGTATCTGAACTGAGTGCCCCGTAGCCTTGCCAGGTTGACATAACTGTAACCATCACAAACTGTCATGGATCTTATGGATAGCTGTAACAATTCAGGACCCAAACAGGAATAGGAAAACATTTTATTTTATTATTTTTAAGTGCTTTAATTAGCATATAGTTATACATATTTGTAGGGTACAGTGTGCCATTTCAGGATATACTCACACACATACATGCATACATACATGCATGGTGATCAGATCAGAATTGATTGGCATATCTGTTTCCTCGTACTGTTTTTTATTGGAGGGGAGGACATGGAAAACCCTTTCTTAGACTCACCTTTAATCTTAGCACTTGGGTAGCAGAGACAGGTAGATCTCTGAATTCAAGCCAGCCAAAGCCACCAGTGTCTTCCAAAGAAGGAAGGAAAGAAAAAGAAAGAAAGAAAGAAAGAAACAAACAAACAAACAAAGAGAGAGGAAAGCCTCTCATGTAGCTCTTTGAGGAGAGTTGGTTATTGTCCACCACTGCTGTCCTAAACTAGAGAGGGACATTAGAATTTAGTCTTTCTGTCGGAGTGTACAGGAGTGTCTTACTTCCCCCACAACCTCCTTAGGATCTGATAACTACCATTCTACTTTCTACTTCTTTGTGACCCTTTAACTCTTCATATAAATGGATATGTGTGGCATTTGTCTCCCTATAGCTGATTTAATTCAGCATGCTGTCCTCCAGTTGCCTCCTCATCAATGGAAATGATATACCTTCTTTACATTGGAGTAATATTCCACTATGTATATGTGCAGTACATTTTCCGTACTTAATACTCAAATTCATTTTATGTTTTTACTCATTCTGACACAAAACCGGATGGTTAATATGTTCACCTTTTAGGTTGGCTAACACACACATAGTAAGAAGATTGTGAGTTAAGAAAAGAGGGCATGAAGTTGGCGGCATATGAGAGAAGATAGAAGCTGCTGTTTGTATGTGTGATTGAAATAAATTATATGTATGAAATTCTCAATAAATTTTTTTTTTTTTTTAAAGATTTATTTATTTATTATATATGAATACACTGTAGCTGTCTTCAGACACACCAGAAGAGGGCAGCGAATCTCATTACGGATGGTTGTAAGCCACCATGTGGTTGCTGGGATTTGAACTCAGGACCTCTGAAAGAGCAGTCAGTGCTCTTAACCACTGAGCCATCTCTCCAGCCCCATCTCAATAAATTTTTAAAAAGTTATATTGTAAAAAAAGATTGTGAGTTTTGAAGTTAGGTGAGCCAAGGTCAGACTGTCTTTCCTGTTACTTATCAGCTGTGGGGCTTGGCAAGTTAACCTGTTAGAGTTGTATTTTGGGATCTCAGAAATGAAAGGTAACCTAGTTTGTTGGTGATGTATAAGTTAGAGAAAAATGCATGGACCCCAGTATACATTAGTCAAGCATGATGACACACTCCTTTAATCCTAGCACTGAGGTAGAAGAGACTGTGGATCTCTGTGAGTTGGAGGCCAGCCTGGTCTCCATAGTGAGTTCCAGGCCACCTAAGGTGACAGAGGGAGACCCCATCTCAAAACTACAAAGAGAAAACAAACCAGCCACTTGAAAAGAGCTGTGTTGTGTGGGTGATTTTGTGGAGTCTTTCATCCTTAGCGATGTGACAGTCTGCAGTCTTGGCCATGTGCGAGTGCACGCCAGGCTTGTGCTTGCCGGACCTGTGCTTACAGTTGCTCATTTGAGCCTTCTCCCCTCTTCCAACAGGGTTAAGTTAGAAGACCAAGGACTCCCTGAGAATTTGATAGTAAGCAATGGTGGCGACTCTAATTTCCCATGTAGGAAAGCGAAGAAGCGGGCTTTTAAGTTGATGGAGGATGAGGAAACGGACCAGGGATACAAGTGTTTGAAGAAGCACTGGAAGAGGCAGGAGGACAGCAGCCATAACGAGAAGGCCTCAGACCTGGAAACCAAGGTCTTCCCAGATGAGATGGGGCAGACAAAGAATAAGAGAAAAAGCAAAGTGACAGGCAGCCCAGCCAGCCCAGCCGAGGAGGACGAGGAAGAGACCAAAAAGAAATCTTCAAAAAGAAAGGAGAAATGTGAACAGAAGAAGCAGACTAGGGCCTCCAAGTCTCCCAAACAACAGACGCCTAAAGAAGGGGGCTCACAGAACTGCAGCTTCCCCAAGGCCTCCCCCAGAAGCAGCCTTGCTAAAGCCCGGAGGAGAAGCAGCACAGGGCCAAAAGGTAGCTCGAGCTACCTGTCAGAGTCTGAGTCCTGTCCAGAGTCAGTCAGCGATGGCCACTGCAGTATCACGATGCAGGGGATCAGCTTTTCAGAGGAACTGTCAGCTGAGCTGTTGAAAGATGGACCTGCTACAAAAACTGCCGCTACCAACATACAGGCCTCAAAGCCTGGCTTTACCTTCAGCTCTGGCAAGGGCAAGGCCTCCAGAACCTCGTCATCCAGTTCAGACTCCAGTTCAGAGTCGGAAGACCAGTTCCTGGTGTCCAAGAACATGCTCGAGGGCTCATCTGACTTCTTGAAGACAACAGGCCTCTTTGTAGGGCAAGGGTGTTCCAGTCCAGGGCTGTCATTGGAGACTCCGGGTATTATGGGATGGAAACCTTCTGACTCAAACAGAGGCAGACAAGCTCCTGGTCCTCCCAATGTGCCTGTCCCCACCAGTTTGGGAAGAGGATGGGGGCGAGGAGAGGACTTCTTGTTTGGGAAGGGACTGAGGGGCCGGGGTGTTCGGGGCCGAGGGCGAGGACGAGGGCAAGCTGTCTCCTGTATCTTGAATAGAAGCTCTGAGAGCCAGAAGCAGAAACAGTTAAATGATATTCTAACAAACTCATCCATGGTGATCCAGGTGAGCTTTAACGTTTGTGAGTCGGCCTCCTCCCTTCCCCCATGCAGCTTATCTCAACCCTGTGACCTGGCCTTTCATTTCCTCCCCAGTAATGACGGCACATGTCTGTTTTCCAGAATCCAGTAGAGACCCCCAAGAAGGACTATAGTCTGTTACCACTGTTGGCAGCTGCCCCTCAAGTCGGAGAAAAGATTGCATTTAAGGTATATGACCATAACAAAACCAAGATTCCCCCTCCCCCAGCTTCCTTAGTGAATCTTATTAAGTAATGTTTACAGAAACTGCTTGCAGTTGTCAGGAGTCATGGTGGGGCCTCAGATGGGTGGGAATGGGGACCTCTGCTCGGCACAATCTGTGTTCTTGGGGTAGGAAAGAGGAGTCCTCGGAGGCTGAGGATATAGGGGGTCTGTGTACTTGAAGGAGTGGCTGAGGAT